TGGAGATGAGGCCATGGGTTGGTAGGTGGGGTTGAGGCCATGTGTTGATGGGTGGGGGTGAGGCCATGTGTTAATTGATGGGGGTGAGGCCATGGGTTGATGGGTGGGGTTGAGGCCACTGGTTGATGAGTGGGGGTGAGGCCATGGGTTGATATGTGGGGGTGAGGCCAGGGGTTGATATGTGGGGTGAGGCCATGGGTAGATGGGTGGAGATGAGGCCATGGGTTGGTAGGTGGGGTTGAGGCCATGTGTTGATGGGTGGGGGTGAGGCCATGTGTTAATTGATGGGGGTGAGGCCATGGGTTGATGGGTGGGGGATGAGGCCATGGGTTGATAGGTGGGGGGAGGGGGGGGGAGGCCATGGGTTGGTGGTGAAAATTGGAAAAAATTACATATGTGTACTTTTTCATTGAACTACTGAAACGATAATGAAAAGTTCTTTTTACACAACCAATAAGATTGTCTGTGTGATGTTGCAATGCCTAGTACCATATGTATACTGTCACCTTCATCAGACAAATGACCAGTGAAGCGTATCTACACAAAGGTGTAAAATGTTTACGAGTTGTCCCCAAAATCAATTTCGATTCGGCTTCGCTGTAAGCGTATGGACAAAAGTTGTTCAATGTGTACCGAATGACTCGAATCAGCTACGCTTTTTTCAATACTTGGTCATAGATTTGCGAGAGTCTTTAAGCCCCGTCATCTCGATTTAGAATTGGCCCCTGCGGCGATTCCAGATGGCATCCTTTATCTGCAGTTTGAACAGATTGTTTTCTCTGTCCAAAATTTTGGAGATATCCCAGTCAATCACATGATTTTTCTGTGTGGCATGGTCTCTGATTGCCGATTTATTTATCTTGGACTCCGACTGCTTCCTTTCTGATCTGGTGAAAGGGAGAGCAATCTATTCAAGCGGCAGACAAAGGAAGCTATCTGAAAACGCCGAAGTGGGTCAGTTCTAAATCGAGATGAGGGGGCTCAAAGATTCTCGCACATCTATGACTAAGTATTAAATAAAGCGAAATGAATCGAGTCATTTCAGTGCATATATCACAACTATTGTACATACGCTTACAACGTAGCCGATTCGACATCGATTTTGTCACAACTCGTACACATTGTACACCTTGGTGTGGATACGCTTCACTGGTCATTTGTCTGATGGAGATGAAGAAAATGTTTAGAAATACTGAAACGATAGCTGATACAAGTCCGAAAAGAGACTCTCATCAAGACTGTATATTCTTGAAACTTCCATTGTATTAAGTATATTTCTAAAAAAAGACTTCTCGATGTCTCTTGCTTTCGATATACACTCGGATACCTACATAACCGTCCTGTTGACCGTAAGGTACACAAACTTACCTTTCCCGTTTTCACATCATGACCAAATGCATAGGACAATTTGTAAAAGAAACAAGGGTTTTCCTCTATAACTCAAATCATATATTTGTGTTTAAGAAATGATGATATCATTCTTCTTAAGAATACAAAAGGATAGCTGTGCAACCGAATTTAATGATAACCACCCCACTCCGCCTTTAAAAACATATTGTTTGGATTCGCTATGGATTTTATTTGCAATTTTCGCATCCAAATAAAGGCAATATAAGCAACATATACATATTTTGGTTTCATCGTCTGATCATTAAAACGAAACCTTCTAACACCATTGATTCCTAGTATTAACTGCGGCACATAATCTGCCATTTTTTTACAAGCGATAAGTCGCTATTTTTCTTCATGAGAATCGTATACCTTTGACAAGGCACCACGATTAGTGTAGACGCTAACTGTTGGACTTGATTGCGCTGGACGTATAACGTTTTTATTGGAAATACAATACGATTAATCTACTCTGTCTTCTTATCAAATATTTACAGGACATGGCTTGGTATAGCCACATCTATTTCTCTTACTCAAGCGAGACCGACCTTGGTGCTAATCAATAAGGGCACGGTCTCAACACTCGTCAGATTACACTTTGTACCACGGATTTTGTACTCAATACCTTGTTTGTACCTGGTCTAGTGATAGAAATATATAATCTGTAATCATATTAAGGTGGTTGTATTATTTATTGTTATAATTTGCTTGTGTGTTTTTTAATAATATTATATTT